TCTTATCTAGTTTAAAATTTATTTTTTCATTCAAATAAGAAAAACATTTATGTGTCTTCTAAGTAATTTATTTTTTAATAGAATTACTTGTATGATTTATTTTGTGTGTATTCTCTATGAACATTAGTAAAATAAAATTAACTTGCTGAAAGTTCTTTCTCTAAAGTATAATTTTTTGAAAAAATTCAGAAACACGGAATCGATATTTTTTAATAAATAATAGGTATATATATATATATATAATTTATTCGGGAAAAACGTATTTAACGTGACATATACTAGATATCGGATCACAATCACAGTACTGCTCGGGGTGTTGGCAGAGTAGTTTGAAGACATGTTTATTGGAAAGCTGACTTGGCTAGTTCAAAGCCTATTGTCCATTTTTGAATTAAAATTAAGTATCAGATATATTCAAATGGATACTATCCAAGGACAAAACTAAATGGAGAAATATTTCACCAGATATTTATTTAAAAAAACAGATGCAGAGAATGTCATGAAACAAGAGCCACCATGGACGCCAAAGGTTTCACCACAAGACAGTAAATCAGATATTTTGTTTTAAAACCTTGATGTCTGGAACCAATAGTTCGGCAGTGTATATAAATGTTTTTACTATTTTAGTTGATAGTTACAGAGAGATGTAGCGCATTATAATTTTCGTCATTTAAAACAATGAAAAAAAAAATAACTAGGTTCTCGTCAACATTTTTGCTCAGAATGTCTGAATTTTGGAAATAGGTTATAGCAATAATGCAGGATGGTCATTTTAACATTTATCCAAGTGCAATGAAGAATTTTCTACGCAAGTATAAGTTTAATCCTTGTACAATCGTCAAAATACAGTATAGTGTAGGGTTCGCGATGAAGTCACGAACCCTACATTATTCTGGTTTTACGATTTCATGAGAAGTAAACTTATAACAGTAAGCTTCGAAATATTTTGTCTCAGTACTCATACAGTTATCATGTATGAGGTTAGCTCCGTTGTAAGGATGCTGGCATCGTATGTTAACATCTGAATTCTCAAAATCACATTTTGTTTGTTTGCATGTTGCTCGCATGTTTAGAAAATTTTAGCATTGCCGTAGAACTAACATTGAATAAATTATTTTACCCTAAACGTCTCAGTGGAATAATGCATCATACAATGCCGTAAAGAACTCTTTTGCAGCTCAAGTTAAACTGACAATCTTTTATTTACAGTATTTAGTTATGCATATATAGTAGAAGTCGGTTAAGAAGTTCACCAACAGATCAATTATAAAATAATTCTATAGCATAAATGAAACGTATACTTATTTTCAATAAGCCGTAATTATTTAATAATGTTTCGCTAAATTATGGGGAATTAGGCTTATACACTATACACTTATTTAGATACAGTATTTGTTTAATTCAGCCCGCTTCATCCATTTTGTTATGCAAAAACAAATACGTATTATAACTTCCATGAAGAAAAACCACGAAATTACTGTACTAAATTTCTTATAGACAGCGCTTATCAGCACTTACTGTTGCAAGTATTGTTGTGAGATAACTGTTTTATAAAATTGTGCAATCCGTACGTAGAGGATCACAAAATTCTTAATACGTTCTTACATTTTCGTTTTCTTTTTCCGTAAGCAATCAAATTATCTATAGGATGCTGTTCAGAAACTTCTTATTCTGGTCGTGGACAAGGACTAGCGTCTTCTTAAACAAAAACATTGTATACGAAAAAATTTATATATCCTTCATACGGAAAAATTTGGACTTTGGGAAAACTGAACCTTCTAATACGGGAAAAGAAAAAGTTATACTTTAATTATTACTTAAATATTTTAATAAAAATTATAGATCAATATAGTTCTTAGTTCCTTAAAAACAGTCTCTTGTTTGTATATTTATATTACAGAGCATGCGTTTACGCTTCGTGTCTCCATCTACGTGATGTGCATGCGCCTCACATGTAAGAATATAATTCAATTAACTTAATAACAAAATTATATATTTTTCAAATATAATCGGAGTATATTATATCAATATATACTCCGATTACAATGGACGTCAAAAGTAGATAATTTTAAAGATACACACAAATAATCCAATTTTAATAGTATATGTAACGAAATTAGTAGAATCATGTCGGCACCNCGTGTCCTGTTCATAATAAAGAAAAGAGCTGCCAACAGGTTGCTTCTCCAGTAAAACATTTCTGATCAAAACGTTTGGTAAAGAAGGTAATGAGTTATCAGTAGGCAAAGCACGATCCCCTGGCTTCCATGGTTTCCAGATTTGATATCAGTAGATTTCTAGTTATTGGGTATTTTAGTAATCTACAGTGTATCATTGTCGGAAACGAAATATGCTATTAGGAGTGAAGTGAGTTCCATTTATCCAAACGCACTATACAGTACTCAGTACTCGAGGACGATGTTACTCGCCTCAGTTGTGTCATACACTATAATGTCAAATAAACTTTATAATATTTTTACCAAGATAAGAATTTTTGTATTTAAATTTCGTGTATAAGTTCCTCAATTTAAAAAAAAAAAGTTGATCTAAAAAACAATACAAACGTAAATATAAATTATTTACTTATCTTTAACTTATTATCAAACTACTGTTTCTACCCCACATTTTCTGATACACAATTGTTGTATTAATTATAAATATTTAGGCCTATATGATAAAAAAATTGTACAATTTATAAACAACTTCGATGTTTTTTGTAATCAGTTTGCATTTTTCTTTGTATTAATTTATTAGATAAAAGGAGACAAGTCTCGACAAGTTTACCTTTATTACGATAAAGTATATATTACGAGTATATTGATAGGCTAAAGCCATAAACGTAGCGAGGTGGGCCTGGTTGGGAACGGCTCCCCCAGTTAACCTGGTGCCCACCCCAGAAAATCACAGCCGAAAAAGTGTTCAGCTGATTTGCAAAATGAAATAAAAGATTGAAGCTGAAAATTCTGAATCGTAAAAAAAAAAGAAACAAAAAAAGGTCAACGGCTCCCTGTGCCCAATGTTATGATTAAAGGAAGTTTCATATTTTATGTGTGTTAAGTTATTGTCGATTCTTATGGAATTTTCACTTTAATGATCAATAATTTGAAATAATTCAATTCTGTGTCAGGTTGGCCTCTACTAGGCCCCCATAACAAAACTCTGGCTACGCCAATGGCTAAAGCAGGGGTTGGCAATATATGGCACGCGTGCCAAACTTGGCACTCGAGACGACTTTCAGTGGCACTCTGATTGAATAGAAATGTAGAAAAAGTTATATTATAATTATTAATTAAACATTTAAATGGAAACCATAGTCCCGTATAGGTGTTATTAAATTAAAAGCAGTCTCTTGCTTATATATTTAAATATCAATATTACAGAGCATGCATTTGCGCTTCGTGTCGCCAGCTACGTGTTGTGCATGCTCCTCATATGTAAGAATATAATTCAATTAACTTAATAACAAAATTATATAATTTTCAAGTCCATTATAATCGGAGTATATATAGTAGTCTATACTAGCTGTTACCCGCGGCTTTGCCCGCGCGAATTTTGAAAGCAAATCCCATTTATATTCAGTACTTCAACAACTATAGTAATTGTTCCATAACACCTACCGCTGAGAATGATGAGAATTGCCGAGAATCAAACGAAATATTTTCAATTTGATCAATTTTCTGGAACATTTACAATCGTTTTATAATCAAACCAATATGCAATAACAAATTCGAATTTAAAACGGTCCGAACATTTTTAAAATCGAAATAGATAAAAATATTTATAACAACGTCTAAAATGTTATTAATTTAATACACCTAAGTACTCGATGAAGACTAAATCCTCTCCCTCTCCCAACGAGGGGAAATTTCGAAAATTCTCTTCTCAGTGTGCATTCTCATGGCATACCCTACTACAACGCAGATAAAACCAAAAATAAACATCTAAAATAGTACAGTAGAAGCCATTCTTCCGGTTGAGCCTTAATGCTCTCCCTCTCCACCCCGCGGTGGAATTTCTAAAAATCCCTTCTTACTGTGCATTCTCATGGCATACCCTACTACAACGTAGATAAAAACAAAAAATCGCATCTAAAGTAGTATAGTAGAAGCCGTTTTTCGGGTTAAGCCTTAATGCTCTCCCTCTCCCCCCGCGGGAGAATTTCTTTAAACTCCGTTCTTAGTGTACGTTTTCATGACGTACCCTAACTGTGTACCAAATTTCACCTCTTTAGGTTCAGCGGTTTGCTCTGGGCGATGATGAATCAGTGAGTGAGTCAGTCAGGACGAGCAATTTTATATATATAGATAACAATCCATACAAATAGTCCAATTTTAATAGTAGGCCTATATATAACGAAATTAGTAGAATCACGTCGTCACCCTGAATAACATTATAATTTAGATTTGGCACAACCCCAACCCATGGGTTCAGTGTTGATAACTTTATGTATTTCAGAGTCTGTTATATAACTACAAATATGCCATTGCTCATATAATTGATTTTTTTGTTAAATTTATTCCATATATACAGTATATTTTAAAAGAAATTTTACACATGAAAAAAATGCATGGAATTAATTAATAAATAGGAAAGATTTGTTTCTTTACCGAAAAACTATTTTTTAAAAATACCATAAAAACCTATTATAAAGCCTAAATATAAGAGATACTAATGAAGTTAAGGGCATTTTCCTCCTTTAACTCCNTTTTGATTATTCTAATTATCATCATCGATCGACGTACAATACATGGTCTTCGAAAACAATGTTATCATTTTATTATTGTAATTACGTTAATTATTACCTGAGAACGTTGTAATATATATTAAAAAGTCGGAAAACTGTCCAAGTTTCAGATTTGCCCATTAAATTTCTGAACGTATGCATTTCGTGTCGCATGGCACACATCGAACCGATACTGAAATACTTCCTGATGCAACGGAAATGATACAATGAATGTTGCATTACATCCGTTTTCCCTCCTCCTACAGCAGCCATAATTCTACAAGACGTTTGAACTCAGATGAGGGATGAAACTCGGACAGTTATCTATAGCTTGATGTACACTACATCGCATACTATACAGATAATAATCAACATAAATTACAGTAATGATTGATATTGGAAGACTCTGAATATCTGATATATTTTGAACCAAAATTCGAAATATAAATATTTGANACAAATTCCAAAACACATTAAAATTGAAATTAAAATATACAATATTAAATATAATTTAAAATCTTCGTTTTATCTTACTACATAATCCCGGATAAGTATCGGAACATTTAGTGTTTTTAGGACAAGCAGAACATGCAGATCCTACTTGGTACGCTTCTGAACCACCCAAATTTCCGCTGAAAATTAAAAATATAAATACTTAATACAAATTAAATTTATTTATTTAAATTATATTGATGAAATATATCTTACGTCGGTCCGTAGTTACAAGTATACAGAACCTTTTTGACACCATTTTCTTCATATCCGGCTACACCACATCCAACTTTCCACGTCTTTGCCCAAATAACCTAATTTATCAAGTTAAATGTTTAATTAAATAATATATAATCAAAGCTATTTTATGTAGATAACTATAATAAGTATTAAATTATAGGTACTTGAGAAAAATGTCCGTAAGTGCTTTGAAATTGAAAGGGATTATTGTATTCTGGATGGAAATATTTTACTTCGCTAGTGTACCACATTTTAACTCCATTCCAATTTATAGATAAACTTCCGGCTGATTGAAAGAGATTTTGTCCAACGCTAAAGTTCCCTGTTAAATAAAATAATAGTGTTAATATTGGATAAATTGTTTCAGTATTCAAATAGACCTATATGTGTATTTATTTTTATTATTATCTTTTGTCTAAAAAGGATTTTTATATTTGATTATGAGCATCTATTCTGTCTTACAATTATATAGAAAAATAAACAAATTGAGAAACTTCCATAACGTAGTTATTATATTTATAATATTAAATTCTTAACGTAAAGTGCTACACAGTATTTATTTTTAATTATTCTAATTATCATCATCGATCGACGTACAATAACATGGTCTTCCAAAAGAATCTTATCATTTTATTATTGTAATTACGTTAATTATTATCTGAGAACATTGTAATAAATATTAAAAAATCAGAAAACTGTCCAAGTTTCAGATTTGCCCATTACAATTTCTCGATGCGTGCACCTCATGTCATATGGCACACATCCAATCGATACTGAAATACTTCCTGATGCAACGCATATGATACAACGAATGTTGCATTACATCCGTTTTCACTCCTCCTATAGCAGCAAGAATTCTACAAGACGTTTGGATCTAGATGGGAGATGAAACTCGGAGTTATCTATCGATTGATGTACAGTACATCACATACTACACCGATAATAATTAACATAAATTACAGTAATTTAAAATGTAAGCATTCATATTCGAAGACCCTGTATACCTGATATATTTTGAAACAAAATTCCAAATAAGATATTTTGCATTTATTAATTATTATATATTTATCAATAAAAACGAATAAAATGTTTAAGATAATACTAACAAAAATTAAATTTAAATAGAACTTTAAATAAATATGTATCTTATATGTAAAAGCCATTATGAAGCTTTTATTTAAAAGTTTATTTAAATAAGTTCTTAACACACGGACATTATAATTCACATGTGTGTATTTGAAATAAATACCGAGAAAAATTTAAATATGTATATAAGAAAACGAGCAATTATTTATTACGACACGATCACAATGCCGGGCTGCAATTGTTAATCATCTTTTAATTTAAAAAATCACGTAACTTCCGATTCACATATGTAGTTAATCGAAGCCACATCTGGTCTCGATTTTCATCCGACAGACAGTTAGACAGACAAAAATTGAGAGTTCTGCAGTTTTAAAATTGCAGCCCAATAACTTGAATTAGTTTTTAAAAAGATGATTATTACTTGTACTTAAAAAACAAGCTAGACTAACACTTACTTTATTAATTTCGATTAATATCTGTGTAAAATATACATCATTATTGTTATATTATGAATAATGAATGAGAGAACTATATATGAATAATAATATAATGATTCATCTAATTACAATTATAAATTCAAATAATATAAATTATTCATTATTTCTTTCTCATTTTATCAACGATTTCTACATTTGATTTATCTATTTAATTCTTTCATATAACATAAAAGAACTATAATAATATAAAAAATAGTAACAATCATCATAAAAAATAATTAAAGGAATAATCTTGATTTATACTACAGTAAATTTAAAAATAAACAAATAATTTCTATTAAAATTTAGAAAGTGTATAAAGTGAATAAATATGATTTTATATTTAAATTTAATATATATTTTTTTTAAATTGATAAAAGGAAGAATTAAATTAGATTGTAGGCTACTTCTTACTTTATGATTTTGGCATGGTGCTACATCTATAATCATGTTAGCATTTTAAATTGATTGGAAACATGGTGACTATGGTAAATTTTCAAACAATTGATAATTTTTTATCATCTTAACATCTAAATTTTATTTCACTTTTACATTTTTTTTTATTTACTACATTAATTATATGTAATTAGCAATGTTCTGAATTTTTTACATCTATATTATTTGTAAATGTTAATACTGCGTGACAGCTGCTGCAATCATTTTGTCGCGACTGTGCAAAACCATGCAGTTAACGCTTGTCATATATTAATGAAAGCAAAAATTCAGAAAGTAATAAAATAGAAATGTGTCTTCCAATCTGAATTTTATTTTAAAAGTAATTTTCCTAAGAAAAACTTTAGGCAAAAAATTTGAAATTTCTACTATATATGAGGTAATAAAATAAACTGACAACCCGACATTTCTTTCTTATTTTTATAGCGTTTCTGTAATAAAAATTTAATGTAAGTTAAGTATCTCTATCCGAACAAAAGAACGTATCGGTCATTGATATTAATGGAAGTCATTTATGTTATCATATAACCGGTTTATAAATAATAGGCTTATTAAGAGTGTATTCCTTCATTATTTTTTAAGTAAGAATATTCTATAAAATGTAAATTACATCCTTTTTCTACTTCAGGATTATCTGTATTATTTGTTTCACAATACACTTTCTGCATACTACATTAATAGAAAATTACTAATAAAACGTCTTACAATTTACATATTTTTGCTCAAAATATTAACAATATTATACCCAAACTTCTATTTTATCTTTGAAATTATAATTAAATACTCCCTAATCATATTTATTAATAAATAAAATTTAAACATTACGTTATTCTCATTCGTGTTACGAGATATTTATAATGTTTCTAACAATATAAACAATAAAACTTCAAATTACTCTTTCTTTTTTGACAACTTAAAATGAAAGTGAAAAAATAAATAATACTGAAGTAATATTTTTTCATCATAAATTGAAACGAGTATCATTTAGTAAATTAAATAAAAATTAATAACAAAATTATATACTAAAACTGCATTAAGGCCTGTTACTGTAAGTTCAAATAGCAGATGATCGTAATTTAAAAATGTTTATTCAACGTTTTCTAGAGAGATTTAACAGTCCAAATACAACCAAACTTAGTATGATGACATTTCAGAACATGCTGAAGACATTTTCGTAAAAATTAGTATTAATTCTCACCAACTTGGCACTTTTGGCGCTACAAGCAACGAAAATCGTAAAAACTAGAAGTTCAACTCGGTCGAGAGAGGCACACCTATCACTTCACAAGTCTATGAATGATGTTAAAGGTTCCAATAGTTCGTGTTCAGTGTCTCAGTAGTTGAACGTATCCTATGACATAATTTTCTTGTATAATGAAATTATTTCTTGCTTGCAGAGCCAAAAATACATTAGTGGTGCGTTTTGATACTAGTTTTTACGGAAGTGTCTTTCACATATCCTGCAATGTTACGATACCAAATTTGGTTTTATTTTGACTGCTAAATATCCCCGTACATAAAGTTGAATAGGGTAAACCTACAATATATTTTTCCCCCCTCAACATCATTTAATTTTGCAATTTATAAACCAAAAAATAGTATTGTAATTAATATGCCAGTTTTTAATGATATAGAATATTAATACATTTAATTGATATTCTATTCCATATATATTTCACAACAAACCAAAAACTTTAAACAAGTTAATATTCAATTATAGAATAAACGTGACACTTAATATCATTCTCTAATTTGTTGAAGTTTATAATATAGCGGCAAAAACTGTAGCTAGAATTTCAATCTTTAAAATCATTCACGCCTGTTAAATAAAATAATTTGCTAGTTATATAATCCTCCCTATTGAAAATTACATCACCAAGTTGAGACGAATTGTATGTGACTTTCCATTTATATTTATTTAAACGTTTCTCTAATTGCATATTTATGAGCTACCTCAATATTTTATGACACGCATTTTATTTAAATTTATTTTTAATGTTAAGTTTATTTTTACGATTAAAATTAATATAAAGTAATTTTTATCCTACCTACTGCACGCTGATCTCCGGAATCGTGTTCAAATTTACATTGGTTCGCATGGGCTTGAGCTATAGCTGCTAATTCATCATCCCATTCCTTAAAAATAATAATTATTATTAAAAGAGTATCTGTTATTGTAAAGTTTATTTATTATTATTATTTTACCATTTGCATCATGTTAGCGGCAGAGGGCAATTTTTGATATTGAGTTTCCTTTCCAGTTGCCAATTTACTTCTTAATTCATTGTGCACTTTTAATATTGTTTGTTTATCACTCTCCGAAACTTTTCCTCCTGCTACCACCTTGCATGTTGAAGACATGCAATAAGAATGATTTTCGCTGAGTCGTCGATATATTGCTGGACAGCTCTGAGACACGACCAACTCCGAGATGGTAATAGAGAAGATAAATACTGAGAAAATCACTAAAATAAAACAACATGTATCTTAATTTAACTAATTAAAAATTTGATTTATAATTTTAATTATTAGTATATGTTTTATACAATAATTTTTAGGTTCTTTCTTCTAGAATAACACTATTAAATTCTGCCATATAAAAAAAAAACATCGCTGTATTTTGAAAGAAAACCTATTTAAATTGAAGAAATTTAATTAACGGTTTATATTTATTAAATTTCTAAATATATTAAAAATTTGTTTATGCAACTCGATACTAAAAAGAATCGATGCTTTCGTTCCACTTCATTCAAAAATACAATGCATCATGTCGATACGATATCCTTCCTAGAGAGGATTAAGTATTTACGTTACAGTAATATTCCGTTTACATATATATATATATATATATACACTAGCACTGAAATTAACTGTAAGTTGGAATTCCATATTTATTTTGATTTGATATAAAATAATTGATAAATTCAACTAAAAAGTAAGTTTTTTCTGGAAAGTATATTTAATCAATCTTCGAAAAACCGTTTTAAAACGTATAAAAATAAATTAATAAATTATGAGAGTACCATTATATTGTTGTGAAATCTGACNGTACATAGGAATATATATATATATATATATATAATTCTAATTCTATTTCTATTCTAATTTTCATTTATTTTAAAATTATAAATAAATCTTATAAACCTTGTTTTTTATTATATTAATTTAATATATTCAACAGTTAAGAACAGATGGATTATAATATAGATTAGCTATATGTCACCACATCACAAATAAATTTAATTGAAATTTCAACTGTGTATCTCGTAGATGAAATTAAATCGCTAATTTCCACTTTTATTCACCTTTTTCTTAATTTAAAAACCTTTATATTTTATACTTATATCGCGGATAGAGTCTACTTTTATTAGTTTATTTAATAAATTTGAAAACTTTTTACTAGAATTATTACATAATTATATTATATTAATTATTGCAAAAGATGATGTCATAAATTCATCCCATTGATAAGATGATAAGATATTAATACATCCCGCATACAAATGTTTTTCTATAGCCCTATACATATCAAATAATGCAATTTAATTTGAATTATTTTATTTTTCTTTTAATTTGGAAATGCTATTCACTAGTTTATCAGTTTTGTGATCTAATTTATCCATAGAGAGCATTATAAATAATTTCTCATTGATACGCATCCATGTCTTAATGACATAAATTCTGGTTTATTACTTAATTAAATTTTACTTATCGAAGCATTTATGCGTGAATAAATAAAACTATTTCGGCGAATTTAGAATCCTTATCAATTTAACTACAATTATATATAATTTACTTATGATTCATTCTCAAAATAATTGTAATTAGATAACGAAATATGTAGTTAATCATAATTATACTACAAACCGGCAATTATAAGAGGATTTGTATTATTTGTTTAGTAATCATCTTCATTTTCATTTATATTTACACAAGACTGTCCAGGAATAGGCCTATATTTAATTTTTAATTAAAATAAATTTTAATATTCGTTTTCGACGTTCAGTTTATTTATTTATTTTATGTGTTGTTAAAGTTTTTGAAGGTCGGTGTATTATCAACTTCCTCGGAATTTTTATAACAGGAAATAAATATTGATTAAGTTTTATTAATATAGATTTTAGTAAAAAAAACTCTTATTTTATAAAAAGAATCAATAGATACTTATTATGTGTATATTTTTTAATTTATTTTTGCAAGAAGAAACACATTACTGTAATAATATCTTTGACGTTTTCATAATCTACGTTAATATTTTAAAAACATGTCTATTTTCAAAAGTTTTCAGAATATTAATTATTCTTTGTAAATATTTAATTTAATGTTATAATAATTATTGAATTTTCGGAAGTATTAATAAGTTATAGATACATTTCTATTAATGATACGATGCGGAAGAGTCGGTATCTATATTAAAACTATTACAATTCTCTTTATAATAACAAATATTTTAAAATTATTTTACTTACTTTTTATATATATATTTATTTGTTCATTTTAATACTTTTACGTGTAAATGTGTTCTGAAAATATTCACCTGAGTATGATGTACTGTATAAACATAAATAATTAGCTTATCGACTGTTTCATTTATTGGTTTGTGAATTCATAAATTAAAAAGTGTAAAAATGGGAAAAATTGAATTAGACCGGCAAATTAAACCATAATTAATATATGGCTTTTTTATTAAAAAAAAATGATTAAAAATATTTTTCTTCATGTTTATACTTCAATGTAATTTATTATTATTATTATTTGTACTTGATTGCCTCTTGTTCTTGTTTTAATTGTTAGAAGTAAGCATTAAATTACTTGAGAAAACAAAATTTGGTGTTTATCACAAATTTTTCAGAATTGAGAAATTTAAAAGCAGAATTCGCTTTTTATTAAGACCTGATTATATATATATAGTATCAATATGTAATAGTTTTTTACTGATGTAAATGTATAAAAACACAAATGAATATTACACAGCGGAAATCACTGTCAGCACGAAAATGAGAATTCTCCAACACTTTATTTGCCGAGTTACCAATCGCTAATTCGTAATATACACTTTAGTGTGTACTATATAAAGAATTGGCAATTTAAATTCAGTTTGAGATATTAATTAAACTAGCATATTAAAATAATACTATTGATAATTTTTGAGATGGGTGATTGAATTACAGACAAATTCGGATATAATAACTAATTTTAATGCACGTTTTATATATACTTAAATAAATTATTTAATTACAGTAATTAATAAAACTCATTTAATGTAAAGGTTTTCGTCTGGACATATTTAGCGCATTGCTCTTTTAACACATCTGCTTTCTTTTTAAGAAATCACATTATCAAAAGATGTAAAATACTTATGTAAAAGGAAAATCGAATTTTAAAGCAGAAACGAGCAGTTATTTATTGTGGCATTATTACAATGCCATGCTGCAATTTTTCGTCACAATGTTCTCAATTTTAGTAGTGTTCTGCTCCTGTACAGTACATCATAGTTTTCCTGTTAACAATGGAGTCGTGCCGGTCATCAACCTAACTTCGTTCAGAAGAAAAGTTTAAATTGAAATAACATGACTTCCGGTCGAAACTGAAAAGTCATGTCATTTCAGTTCATACGAACTATATACATACAATAGTTAATCGAGGCCTTCTGTCACCAAGCTTTTTATATCTGGTCTCGACTTTCATCTATCTAAGAAGATCATCTATCGAGATTATAGAAAAACAGACAGACAAACGGGTGCTTGCAAGAATTTGTAAGTCTTTAAATAGTTATTAAGGCATTGGAATCCAAATAATATTTTAGACATTTTCATATAATTATCACATGTTTTAATTTTATCATATTATAAAGTGTCAATCAATTCTTATAAATGGATGAGTACAGAACTTTTCAGTATCTATGAAACTAAATACACTATACAATTTACATTGCAATCAACCTTGTTATCACGCCTTTCAAACACTCGAACTCACACTTACACTATACATAATTATTCTTTTGAAGTTCTTCAATTTAGCGCCACTCTCGATTTAATGCCAGTTTCAGAGTCAAACAGATGAAGGCATTAAATCGAAACTTAACTGCATTTTTAAATTTATTAATTAAAAATATTCCATTGTTAAAGNTGGCGTGGCGTAGCGCCGAACTTAATTAATTAATTGATTAATTAATTTGAATGCGGTCTCTAAAGGGTCCAAATGTCGCATCCAAAAAACGAAAGAGGAAACTAGGGAATTCCCCCAAAAATTTCCTGAAAAAAAAATGTATGATGTCAACACTGTACATGGAGCCTCTAATTCAAATTTGTTCGGGCCCCAAAAAAGTAATAATGCGCCACTATACTGTATATAATCTATAAACATGTATAAAATAATTTTAAAATAATCAAATGATCGATTTTCTAACATTTATAAATTGCGTAATATAAAATATATTTTGAAGAATTGTTGCTACGTAGCAATATTTAATATCCGATAACAATTGTCATAAATAAATCTGTGCATTGATAATAAATATATTAGTCAATACTTTCACAAATATGTTTATCTTTGATTGCTTATCCAATTTGAAATATTAATGAAATACTCTTTTCAAATATTTATATTTTTATTGAAATATTCTTAATTAAAATTGTATTCTATATCTTTCTGAAGGCAGATTTTTCCATAATAATTTAACTGTAATTGAAATAATAAAATATTAAAATAAACAGCATTAATTTTATTAAAAATCGTTTTAAATTTTATTATTATTATTATATTAAAAATTAAAGTATTATTACCTCCATTATTAGCATCATTTTCGCAGTTTCCATCGGAACATTTTAATACACTGGCGTACGCAATAGAAACTGAAAACAATTACTGTTATGTTAAAAAAACATTGTAATAAAATTATATGTTCTATAAAATGTATTTTTCAGCAATTTACGCTTTTGTGTTTATGATAAGGAAATGTTTCATGATAAGTATTTTGAATTAAAACCTATGATATTTCAATCACTACATGTAAGTAAATCGAAATATCAATAGCGCATAAAATTTGATTTATAAAAGTAATATTCAAAATAAAAAAATTAAAAATATGAATTGATGATAGTTGCTGAAAAATAACTCATTTATATTTATTACATGAAATTCACTATATTTTGGGAGACGTTTGCCAAATTATAGTGAATTTCGAGACTAAAACCTTATATGAATTTAAACATGCCGTTAAATTTAAAAAAACTTGTGTATTACTAAGTCTAGAATCATTATAGCTCACCTTCACAGCCGTTTATCTCATCATATTCTACTCCATTTGGACAAAGACACGAATAACCACGACTTTCTTTAGGATTTACAAAACACTCTGCGGAAACTTTTTGGCAATGTTTATATCCTACACTGTCTTTTGAACATACTTCTGCTGTTTAATAACATTATATTTAAATATATTAAAAAGTAAATTATAATCAATTATAAAATTCTGTTAATTTCAGAACTATTATAAGAATAAATTACTAGGATTTTCGTTGGTTTTACAAGTTCCTTCTTCTAATTCAGTGCCATCTTTACACACACAAATATATCCTAGATATGAGTATGGATCTTTAAAACAAAGGGCTTCTTTATCTCGGCATTCATCGTAGCCTGTTGTATCTTGTTCGCACTCCGTTAGTGCTATTAGAAATACGCAAGATATAATTTCCTAGATTAGATTTCAGATAATTATATTTTGAGAATTTAGTTTTTTATTCATACCTTCAGCTTTAACTTCCGTTTCATAACTTTCATCTGAAAGTTATTCCAATATAAGTTTATACATTTCTAAAATAATTTGCGTAGATCTAAAAATATACAGTAAAACCTGTGTAATCCGGAATTGAGCAAATATTGTTTTTGGTTTAATATGTTTTCGTTTTAAACAGGTTCTTTTTTAACATAGAAAATCGCTCCGTTCCGAATATTTTTTTTTCCATTTAGGCAGGTTCCGTTTTGGACAGGTTTTCACTGTATAATGTACGTTTTATCTTACCTATACATTCGTGCAATTCTTCATTGAATGTTTTCCTTTTATTGTAACATACGCAAGTAAAATTTTGCATTCTGCGATTTTCAACACATTTAGCTTCTCCCTGATCACAATAATCTGCTCCTGATTTTCCGTTATCCATTTTAATAAAACACCAATTGACTCTTTCACAATATCTTCCGTACGCTCCTTCTGGGCATTCGCAATGAGCTTGATTACCACTTGTGCTACAGATCCCTCCGTGCTGACAGGGATTCGGTGAACACATATCTCTGCCTAAAAATGATTTTAATATATAACTATTGAAAATATTAAAACAAAAATAACACCGTATATGACTTACTTTTACATTTCCCAATTTCATAATTAAATTCTTTCTGTCTATTGTAGCATTTACAACTGAAATTTCCGTCTCTTTGTGGCACGCATTTGGCTTCTCCTCTGTTACAATACGATTTACCTGTAGTTCCGTCATCTCTCAGAACTTTACACCAATCAACTCTCTCGCATCGTTTCCCTTTTGTTCCTTTAGGGCATTTACATTCGAATCTGTCATGTTTATTTATCTTACAAATACCTCCATTCTGACAGGGATTAGGATTGCAAGCATCGTCTAAAAAATTGAAAATAACGTTAAATATATATATATATACAGTGACTCGTTATCTGTGGACAAAAAGGGCAATTTCCTGGGCCTCCACCAACAGGGGACCCCAAACCAATCTTTTATAAACTTATTACTATTGTAGGAATGTCGAGATTTAAATTTGGCGCCATATCTGGGATCTTCAGATTGCTGGCGTGGCGTAGCGCCGAACTTAATTAATTAATTGATTAATTAATTTGAATGCGGTCTCTAAAGGGTCCAAATGTCGCATCCAAAAAACGAAAGAGGAAACTAGGGAATTCCCCCAAAAATTTCCTGAAAAAAAAATGTATGATGTCAACACTGTACATGGAGCCTCTAATTCAAATTTGTTCGGGCCCCAAAAAAGTAATAATGCGCCACTATACTGTATATAATCTATAAACATGTATAAAATAATTTTAAAATAATCAAATGATCGATTTTCTAACATTTATAAATTGCGTAATATAAAATATATTTTGAAGAATTGTTGCTACGTAGCAATATTTAATATCCGATAACAATTGTCATAAATAAATCTGTGCATTGATAATAAATATATTAGTCAATACTTTCACAAATATGTTTATCTTTGATTGCTTATCCAATTTGAAATATTAATGAAATACTCTTTTCAAATATTTATATTTTTATTGAAATATTCTTAATTAAAATTGTATTCTATATCTTTCTGAAGGCAGATTTTTCCATAATAATTTAACTGTAATTGATAAAATTTTACGTTTTTTAAAACGAATTCATTATTTTTATTTATTCGATTATGAAAATAATAATTACTTACTTGGTTCGTTAGTGCTGATCACTTCTGGCCCTGTTGTTTGGCCCTCCTCTTCCTCTTCAGGCATCGTTGTTTGGATCGTCTCTTCTCCTGGCCCTGTTGTATCAACCTCATCTTCTTCCTCCTCCTTTTCCGGTCCTGTTGTTTGGACCTCCTCTTCCTCTTCAGGCCCTGTTGTTTGAACCTCGTCTTCTTCCTTCTCCTCTTCCGGTCCCGTTGTTTGAACCTCCTCTTCTTCTTCTTCCTCTTCCGGTCCTGTTGTTTGAACCTCTTCTTCCGGTCCTCTTGTTTGAACCTCCTCTTCTTCCTCCCCTTCCGGTCCTGTTGTTTGAACCTCCTCTTCTTCCTTCTCCTCTTCCGGTCCTGTTGTTTGAACCTCCTCTTCTTCCTTCTCCTCTTCCGGTCCTGTTGTTTGAACCTCTTCTTCTAGTAACCTTATCAATTTTTTTTCTAATTTTGTTGGTTGAATTTCTTTTTTCGATTGTGTAGTATAAATACCTTCTGATTCAGTTACATCTTTAGGTACTTGTGAAATTTCCCTCACTAATTTTGTTTCGACGCTGTTTGTGTTTATAATATTCACTGGTTGCTCTGTAAATTCACTTTTTNACTTTGAGAAACGCTGAGCTAAAATAAAAGTCAATGTGTTAGAAATATTCAAGTTGTGACCTTCAATAAAAAATAAAAAATATATAAAATGTCAACATTTTATATATATTCTGTCGAATTTTTATATATAGAATTTGTCTGCCGTCGCCCCTCTATATTTCCTTAACGCCCCCAATTCACTTTGAGCCTTCTACTGCCCCCCTGAAAGCCTCCAGCGCCCACAAGGGGGCGTTATCAGCCACTTTGAGAAACGCTGAGCTAGATTGATAATAATTTCAGTTGAATAATACCTCTTATAATGTTATAGTACTTAGTAGCCCTTTTTAAAAACAATAATTTATGTTGAAAAGCTCTTTTTATACTGTTTAATAATACTAAGAGAATACTTCAAATTCTAAAATAAATAAGCCTTTATATTTGAAAATACCTTCAGGGTATTTGTACAGCTAAATTAGAATACTTGTGTGAGATCCGGAATTTATTAACAAAAATTGTAATTAGTTCACTTTCAGAATTAGAAGAAAAAAATTGATCTTAGCCGGGAATGTGTAAACCTTCCTGTCATAACTATCAACATGTATTGTTCTCTACATAACTGCAGCTCGTCTTGCACAAAAGTTTATAGTTAGCATCCAAAATTCGTCACTTGTTTAGGTCCCTGGACCACCTATAACCTTTAGCTCATAGACTATTCGATCACGTGATGGAAATTCCTCACAAAAAGCTATAAAAGACAGTTCTTACCCCCTCTCGGGGGAGTCCCTTAACGAAAGCCGGACCGACGACATCGCGCCGATTCTCCGAATCCGCCGAAGTTCCGATCCACGAACAACTATATCCTATCATCGCCAGAGTCGCGAACTTTTTATAATTGTGCTCAGCTGGATAAAAGACATCTTTTATTGAACAATTAAGTGCCTACATGGACTTACTCGCCTAGGAACCATACAAAGAGGTATGAAAAAGTGTATAAACTCTCTCTCGAGCTGATAGGCAGTTTAAAAAGAAATTTGTGTAGTTTTTTGTCGATTTTGTTTATTTCAATAAATCCTTATTTTTAATTGTTAAAATGGTAGACTCCTTTACTCGTATACGCCCTTNGCGTTATTGCTTACTTTGAGAAACGCTGAGCTAAAATAAAAGTCAATGTGTTAGAAATATTCAAGTTGTGACCTTCAATAAAAAATAAAAAATATATAAAATGTCAACATTTTATATATATTCCGTCGAATTTTTATATATAGAATTTGTCTGCCGTCGCCCCTCTATATTTCCTTAACGCCCCCAATTCTCTTTGAGCCTTCTACTGCCCCCCTGAAAGCCTCCAGCGCCCACAAGGGGGCGTTATCGCCCACTTTGAGAAACGCTGTGCTACAGTTAAAAATTTCTCTTGCTTAGGTAGAAGCCAGAATTTTTTGTGAATAACATATTGTTCCTAAAATCACATTTTCGCGAGATACACTTAAATGTTTAAAAGTATAGTGTAAATCTATTATTGACGTCGTATAATCTACATTTTCCACCACTCTCATTTCGTATGCCATAAACATGTTATTAAAAAAAATAAAATATTATAACATTGTAACAGTAATTTACATTAATTTGTAGATTCATTTTTGGAATTGATAGAGATATAACAACAAGTTTACTACCCAATCATCTGCATACACTACATTAAAAGGCGCTTTTTTATTACAAGTGCGAGATTCTAGGGATTTTTAGATTCAAAACCCCACTTTCGTGACACCAATATGTGAACCGCCGGGGAGGCCGTAAGTCTCTCGGTTTGCGTGACTAGTCAGGATGACAAGTCAGGCGAGTGGAGGTAAAGTTTCTTAGGGTCGACGATAAGGTGAAGGGCGTATACGAGTAAAGGAGTCTACCATTTTAACAATTAAAAATAAGGATTTATTGAAATAAACAAAATCGACAAAAAACTACACAAATTTCTTTCTAAACCGCCTATCAGCTCGAGAGAGAGTTTATACACTTTTTCATACCTCTTTGTATGGTTCCTAGGCGAGTAAGTCCATGTAGGCACTTAATGGTTCAATAAAAGATGTCTTTTATCCAACTGAGCACAATTATAAAAAGTTCGCGACTCTGGCGATGATAGGATATAGGTGTTCGTGGATCGGAACTTCGGCGAATTCGGAGAATCGGCGCGATGTCGTCGGTCCGGCTTTCGTTAAGGGATGTCGTCGGTTACAACCCCGAGAGGGGGTAAGAACTGTCTTTTATAGCTTTTTGTGAGGAATTTCCATCACGTGATCGAATAGTCTATGAGCTATAGGTTATAGGTGGTCCAGGGACCTAAACAAGTGACGAATTTTGGATGCTAACTATAAACTTTTGTGCAAGACGAGCTGCAGTTATGTAGAGAACAATACATGTTGATAGTTATGACAGGAAGGTTTACACATTCCCGGCTAAGATCAATTTTTTTTCTTCTAATTCTGAAAGTGAACTAATTACAATTTTTGTTAATAAATTCCGGATCTCACACAAGTATTCTAATTTAGCTGTACAAATACCCTGAAGGTATTTTCAAATATAAAGGCTTATTTATTTTAGAATTTGAAGTATTCTCTTAGTATTATTAAACAGTATAAAAAGAGCTTTTCAACATAAATTATTGTTTTTAAAAAGGGCTACTAAGTACTATAACATTATAAGAGGTATTATTCAACTGAAATTATTATCAATCTAGCTCAGCGTTTCTCAAAGTGGCTGATAACGCCCCCTTGTGGGCGCTGGAGGCTTTCAGGGGGGCAGTAGNTTGAACCTCCTCTTCTTCCTCCCCTTCCGGTCCTGTTGTTTGAACCTCCTCTTCTTCCTTCTCCTCTTCCGGTCCTGTTGTTTGAACCTCCTCTTCTTCCTTCTCCTCTTCCGGTCCTGTTGTTTGAACCTCTTCTTCTAGTAACCTTATCAATTTTTTTTCTAATTTTGTTGGTTGAATTTCTTTTTTCGATTGTGTAGTATAAATACCTTCTGATTCAGTTACATCTTTAGGTACTTGTGAAATTTCCCTCACTAATTTTGTTTCGACGCTGTTTGTGTTTATAATATTCACTGGTTGCTCTGTAAATTCACTTTTTCTACTAAAATCTTTTAAAGTAGTAAAGTCTTCATTATTTTTATTTAAATTTTCAGCAGCTAAAGTAAGAGCAAAACAACTAATTAAGAACAAGATTGACATTTTTGCCATTTCACGCACTTCAACTAATTTCATTGTTCGTTTAAAATAATGTCAATCTGGATCAACCTTTTAAAGGAAAGATTATAGCACGTATCTTTCAAAAATTATCTATTGATTACGAAACTTTGATAAACAATTTATATCAATTTTACCTGTATTTTAACTGATATTTACCTGTTGCGTATATGGGCCTATTCTTCTAGGAAAAGATAAAAATTAACTTTTTAAGTATCCCAAAAGTCAGGTTACAAATTAGAGAGAATAAAATAGTATTTTATAGATAATAAATACTTTTTCTCTTTGACACTTATAAAAGCTATAAAAGTCTATTTTTAAAATTATGTTAAATCATTAGCACGCTATTGTATACTATGTTCATACTGATATATAAATTTCCTTTCCATAAAGTATAAAATAAATTTAACATTGGACGCGATATAACAACTATCGTATGAGTCTAAAAAGTACAGAATATTCTATTATTTTATTTTACTTGCTAATTAATTTCTAGATTATTAATATTCTATAACTTCAAAACATAGTGTAAGTAATGCTCAAATAATAACTTATAAATGCAATAAGTGTTTAGCAGTATATTTACAATAAACCATCAAATATTTTTATAAAAATAGCTTATATTCTTTATATTATTTGTACAAAATTATTTTTATAGAATACACTACTTTTATTTAAATTTTGTGTAAATGATTTTCCGTTGTCAATGAAGATAATAAGTATAATTTACACATGCACACGTGTATTAAATGGAGAACTTCATGTTTGTCAATTACTAATTACTCAAACCTTCTATTTAAAACTCGTGTTTATACATAATCTTTATCGAGAGTGACACTAAATCGACAGTTTAGTGTCACTCTCGATTTAGTCGCCGATTTCGGAAGCAAACAATACCCGCTAAATCTACGTTTGACTGTAGTCGATGTGTTATGAATTATTGTTTTCTCTATACTTTTAAATTGTTTATATCAAAGATACGTGTATTAAAATAATATATGAGAGGAGAGATGTTAATAATATGAATTCAGATTTATAAATAGAGATTATAATAAACATAATATTTGTTATAAATTCCATACAATCATTTGTTATAAATTATACAATCATACCGATTTGATCATTCGATATTATGAAAATATATGATCTCAAAATTAATTCTATTTGTTTGATATTTGTTTTTATATCAATTATTTGGTAAAATAACAGTTTCTATAGATTAGTCTAGAGTAAGTTTAATAAAGCTTTCAACAATTTAAGTGTCAAAGAACGTGTTAAAAAGTATTTAATTATTATATTACTTAAAATTTTTCGAAACAATTCTCAAATTTAATCGTAGATTAATAAATTTAACGACTTATTACTTTTGTTAATTAAACGCGTTTGCAATTACACAAACGATTATTAACGAAAAATGAGTTAATTATTTTTAACTTTGAAATTTAAAACTTTATTATAATAATTACTTTTATATTCTTTAAATGAAATGATCTACAGAATTTTATTAAGAATGTTATCTAGTTATTGTCGGAGAGATTTTCTGCACGATATTTTCTACTTTAAAGAATGAAGGTGATACTTATTACTAACTTACGAATACGAATTTTCTGTAAATGAATATCATGTTCGCATGTTAAAGTGAATCTATAATATATTTCATCGTTGAGAATAAAAGTTAATCATGTTTATCGTAACATGTTTTGATATGAAAGATAAATTAATTGTATTAAGCTTTTTGATAGTGAAATTTATTACGGAATCTCCTATTTACGACATACACACGTGTATATAAATAAACAAAACTCGATATAGCGCTCTTGTAACTAGCGCTAAGTTCGACATGTGTCAATGGATTTCTTCATAAATTATAAATGGAGAGCTCCTTCATGTTTTTTTCAATTACTAATTACTCAAACTTCTGTTTAAACCTAATTTCTATTCATAATCTATTGTTTGAGGTGCTTCAGTTTAGTGCCTCTTACATTACTCAAAATGAATCACATTCGTATTAATAATTTCATATTCTCTTTGGCATACAAGTTAGATTGAAAGTAAGGTCTTGCTATTCATACTCAATGCTAAGAAATGGGTATGTAAAAAATGTATTGCGTATGGGTAATCCTGGATGAAACAAAGAAAACGTCTGTCTTCTAAACAATAATTTCTCTCTTCCTCTTCGCCGTCATCATCACCTTTTCTATACGCTATCAACTCTCCAAAGTTACAGGTAAACTGAGAACAAATTTACATTTATTTTATCTATTTATTGTATTTAAGGATTCTTTTTTCCCTGTGTGTATATGATTTATGCGTGATAGACTCGTAAACTTCTTAAATTTGTGTCAAATTCTAAATAAATTGATTTTATAACTGTACTCTTTAGGATCTGGAACGAATTAATCTACTTTACATTATTCCTTATGGGAAAAATTCGTTTGGCACCCGAACAGATTTATACTCGAAAAGCCTGCTGGAACGAATTAAGTTCGAGTACCCTTGTATCACTATATTTCCGGAATTTGTATTAAAGATGGGTTTACCAAGCCTTTTCTTCTGTGAAATTTGTGAAATGTATTTTATATATGAAATAATTAATAATAAACATATTTTAGAAGAGGGTCATTTCGGCTGAAGTTGTAAAGGTATCAGTCATTCGATCTGGAAGGATTCGGATACGAATTCGAATCGAATCCTGTTTGGTTGTCACAGAGCCGGCCCTACCATAGGGCGAAAGGAGCAGCCGCTCCAGGCGCTAAGTCCTAGGGGGCGCCTCAGTGGTAAAGAAAATTAAAGGGTATAAATTTGGGGCAGCCAAGGGCAGTGGCGTAGCGAGGGGGTGCAAGGGGGTGTATCAAGCACCGGGCGCCACTCGCAGAGGGGCGCCCAAATGGTCTCCAAGACAAACTATATGTGTTTCTGGAGGGGGCGCCAATAAAGTGTCGTGTCCCGAGCGCCACTTATGTTCGCTACGCTACTGACCAAGGGGGCGCCATAATAGGATCTCGCTCCATCCTAAAACTTGCCTCGGGCCGGCACTGGGTTGTCATATGTCGGACTTATCACTCACTGTCTGATCTTCTCATTATAGGTTTAGCTGAACACACGATGGGCGTACACAAACTCGTGTAGGAGACACAACAAACAATACAAAGACGTGAGAATGTGGCCATTATAAAAGCTCTAACATCAATATGTGCGATTACTTCCTCTGAAATTTCCTAAAAGAGAAATTTTACCAAAAGAGACCCAAAAACTAGATTGTAAATTAGCAGAGATTATGCAGTTTTGCGTTATCTACAAATTTGTTTCGTGGAATGAGTTATCAATGCAACTTTGCAATTCATATTTCGTTGTTATACTTGTTTTATTTCCATTAATGTTTAACTGAAACCCTAGTAATCGTTCGTTCTATTTATATTTAATACGTGAACGTACGGCACTGTTAACTGAATTTCGATATTGGTAAGAGTTTGACCGTTGTGATCAGCCTGCCAATAATTCCTGTAAAAAAACCACAGGAACTTATTTAATTTCCACAATAAACTATAAATAAATTAACTATAGACCGAATTTTAAACTGATAAAGCAAAAACAGAATGCACGGATTTAACTGAAAGTTCGTATATAGTTAATCAGGGTCTCTGGTCCCTGATTAACTATATTTATATAATTTATATGATTAACTTTCTATATTTGGTCTCGATTTTCATCAAACTCCGTTCTCGAGATTAGCAAAGAACGGACGAATGGACGATAATGGGAATGTATAGATAGATCTGCAATTTCAAAATTGAAGCACAAAAAGAATTATTTTGTATTTTATCGTCTATAAAATAATTACATAAACTGAGATTAACTGGTAGGAATTTTCTTTTAATTGAAGATAAATGTAACATCATCAAATAACACAACTATTTTTTTAATTAAATAACAATATCAATTTACGTACTTTATGCGAGGTTATCTTTTGATAAACTTTCTATCAGAAATTCCGCGACAATCAACAAAATAAAATCGATTGTAATAAATACTTAACGGATATAAACAAAAAGCTGTTAATTGCATAATAATTCATTGACTTTGAGTCATGTGAATTCAGTAAATAATTTTTCAGTCTCATTTTATAATATTTAGTTGAGCCAAAATATAATTCGATCCGGATCTCCTGATTTCGTGCGTGCTGTACATACATAGACCAAAGACATTAGAATTGCATTATTATCTATATCTGTAAATGAGAATGTTTTTGTTTGTTCGCTATGCACTACTAGATCGTTCGACCAATTACTACGAAATTTGGCAATTCCGTTAATACTACTAATTTAGATAATGCTGTACATATCACCCTAAAATATTCATTAGATTTCTGTATGTCAATTAATTTTTGTGTACATTGGATTTACTGTATTTACATGGAGCGTATCTATTGGCAAAAACGTTTAAAATTTCAAATTAACAACACCTAAATATGGGCCCGTTTCCCATAAAATTTCTCCCGGGAACAGTTCCAGCATTGATGTATATGTCACCTTTGTGCAAAGCTAAATTTGTTCGAAGTTAAGCAAAACTGGTACGATTTTTGATATGAGATCACTTTTTTCATGTTTACTTAAAATATGTGCTAAATGGTGTCTGTCTTTGCATCCATAACTGCGATTTGTCATCACCGAAAAGTTTGCAGTACAAACAAAATACCGACTCTTCAGAAACCGAGTAGACTAACCATAATCTTAATATTTTTTTCTCTGTTTGGAAGTAATCTGCCATAATAAGTAGTGGAAATTTTTCCTTCTGACTTATCCCTTGGAAAATTCCAGTTGATGATTTGCGGAGGGGAATGTTCGACTAAGTAGTCTCTCTCTTTTATTGAGAAAAAGTTTGGTCACATACTTGGCTCTTCCAAATAGGCAAAGTTCTTTCAAATGTCATCAATTTGAATTTAACTAATTCTGAAACAAGACACACCGATTAATGTTGATGACGAACTAAAACTTTGTTGTTCATGCGCTTCTACTTCCCTTCTTTCTGCAGATGTTGATGGAACATTCACTAGTCCATCTATCGCTTCTGTACATTTTCCTTCCGAAGATAATTGACAAATTTCAGAAGATGGAGATGCCGATGGTATTCCATCCTTTCTTTTCGCTGAAGATTCCTAGAAGCTTGACAGTTGATGACACAGATCCTCTTTTGCAGCCTACGTTTTCTATTTTGGGCACCAGATAATATTTTTTTTTTTTTTTTGTTATTCCCCTCACTCAGACATCTAAAGTACAGTAAATTAACGGGTAACATTTTTTTTTGTATAAGAGGATTCATGCTTTGTTGTTATAAAACTTTTAAAATCATACTTACGTTAATTTACGAAAACAACTTAAAATATTAGACAATTAAACACTTAAAGCTTGATAAATAAAATTGCATTATATTTCCACTTCATCAACTAGAAACATCGAATGAGGATATAATTGTAAGAATTCACATTACCGCCACTTTCTTACAATTATAATACAGCGATGTAAAGAAAATAGATCTTTAATGCATTTTCTTTGCCTACAAACAATTAATTAATGGACAGCAGGAGTACCCGCTCGCCCATAACTCCACAATATTTTGTTTTGTTGGACAATAAGTCTGTGTATCCAAAGAATATAGGTAATGCCTATATACACTGTAGAATTTTATGTAGAAAATGAAAATAAATATGAATGTTATAGTAATATAATTATTAAAAAATTTTTTACTATTACATAAGACTCAATTTGGCGTCCCCTTTCAGGTTAAGTAGAAAGTAATGTGAAGATAGAATGCTTACAAACACAACTTTAAATCACGTGATTTATTCGGAAGAAATTTAATTATAGGTTCAAGTGTGCCGTGAGGTAAAGGTTGAAAAACACTGCTATAGAGGAGTGTCCAAAACCGGACTCGGATCACTAACAGTAAGTCAGACCCCTACATTACAGTGTAGTTGGTTAGGTGCTGCAGCCTGGTGCCACAAGATGGAAACTGAAGATATGAACGGGTGTTCTGTTTTTGAAGAGTCAACTTTGAAGCCGAAGATTAATTCGCGCTGTTACGCCATTATTGTTATTGGCGTAATTGTCAGAATGCGTCCATAAAACTGTGATTTTGTTACACTTCAAAAAGGGAAAAATCGTTTCACGTTTGTAGTTTTATAAATAGTAAATGATATTGTATATAACTATGATATTTGCTTGTTAAAATATCTCTGAGTAAACTTTTAGAGCTTGCAAATATAACAATAGTAAGTCCTAAATAGGACCCGCAAGTTTTTCGTCTTTCAAATTTTAAAAAAATCTTGTTTCCAATTAAGGTAATTTGAAATCATGTTCAAGTAATCGGTCCCCGTAGAAGCTCGGATGACCAAAAAATGAAAAAATGCATAGAAGCAATTAGAAAGAGTGAGGTGGAAAATGTGTTTCTAAGGCGTTTGGTGTATCCAAAACTACATTGATGAGGCTCGAAAATGAAGTACGGTGATCCAAAGGAAGAGGCAAACAAAAATGTAAAGGCCTTTCGTTTCACATTCATTCTTATTACAGATCCGACTTAGGCAACATTTTTCTCAGAGACTAGTTTTGTCAGTTTTCTGAAGAATTTGAAAATCTGATCGGTTGTAAGTTAAATTCGGTTATGCTGGGTATTAGAAAACATGGAAGAACTCATTTTGTTAAAGACCATATAAAATAAACACGATAAAACTGGTACAAATGATAAAATACAGAATAGGGATTCAATTTGGCCACTTTCCTATACTGATCAATCCCTTTAATATTAAATACGCTTTACTAAAGTGCTTATATAGCAAAGGGAATATCCCTATCCAAAAAATCCAATTCGATGTGCATTTAGATACTTTTTTCAGTTATCTTACTCCGTACTACTATTATTAAACTGTCCCATTATTATTACCCAAATTATTCAAGTTGTGTGCAATGAAATATGAATATTTTAGAATTACTGGTAAATTCAAAATTATGGAACCGATTTATTTTCAAATTCCACAATTTACAACATACTTATAAATGGAGACTGCAGATTCTTAGTAATACATAAAATATTCTAAATACGGTATTTACAGTTTATAAATAAGGATATTGTAGAGATTCAATATTTTTTTAAATCAAACTTGCAATAAATACACATGAAATACAGTTATAAATCACATAATGTTACTTTATTTTCTAATATGAATTTCGAAAAACTGCAAAATTTTGATATAACTGACATTACTGTTTGTTTACATTTCAAACTGGAGATTTATAGAACACAAGTCAAATGAATACTTGTTTTAAAAGTATTCACTTCAGCTTTAATCAAACATATTTATATTGTATATAATTACTTATATATATATAATAAACAATGTGGATTTACAACTAGTTACATTACAATAACCCTAAGATTTTTGGTGCTCACCTCAAAAATTACATTTTTATATATGTATATAAAACTAATATAAATACTGTAGGAAGCATTATCTAATAAAATAATCTTATAAACACAAACCAAATATTTTAGCATATACAATAATTTATTTAAAGCAACAAGATGGAAATTTTGTCAGAGGTAACTTCGTTTCAGTTATTCAATGCAACGATTTCCGTTTCCAACTTTTCACAAATCTATTATAAATAAACAATGTTCTTATATAATTTGTTCATTTTAAAGTGCATAAAATTTAAGTGCCATAGGTATCACGAAGGCTTACAGCTATATTTGAAAAGAAAAAGAATTAATGAGTCTGGCACTGAACTCCGCCACGTTGATGACCATAGTCGTCGTCTTCTTCATACACTTGTTTATGCGTACGTTGTCTTCTAGCTTCCTGCTCGGGATCCAATTCTATTAAACTAACCTGAATAAAAAATTATATTAATATAAAATAACAATAAAAGTAATAAAAATGTTATAATTTCGTCTATTAAAAATATTTTGGTATTATTTAAAAAGAAATTTTTATGCAGAAAATGAAGAAATCTTTTCGAATACCAGTACATTTGTTTCCTTTTTTTAATTGTTTTAATAAACAAATTACTAAGCGTAACACACTTTTAAAAATGTCGATAGCTATTGTACAAAATTTCAATAATAAAATATACAACATAATTTATAATTTAATTTAATTTTATAACCTAAAGTGCTACAAATTATTAAAAATGTTGGATTGCCAGATATTTTTTGTATTTTCACAAAATTTGATAAATTATATAAAATCTGAACATTGAAGAATTGTTGTAAATTTTGTATCAGCACACATACTACTGCATGATTCCAATTTATTTATTATCTATAGCCTGATTAAAAAGCATGTGTAATCTTACTATGCATGACTTCACTGTGATTGAAAAATCTATAGAAAGCTTAACAATGAAGTGTCCAGTGCCTAGAAAGTTGGATAACTGAGAATAACAGATGTAATTATGAAATTAAAAACAAAATAAGAAGGGCTAAAGCTGCTTTCACAAAGTATTAAGAGATAGAAATGTATGCAAAAAATTGAAACTAAAAATACTAAAAATTGAAACTAAAAATAAAAACAATGATTTGGAGTGTAGTTACATAGGAATGAGAATCATGGACAATAAACCAAGAGAAAGTTAATAAGATAAATTCCTTTGAGATGAGATGTCTTAGAAGAATGAAAAGAATTAGTTGGATATTTAGAATAACCAATGAGAAGGTTATGAGTATATTTCGTGAAAAAAAACCTGATGGTCAGCACCCAGAAGAAAAACAGCATATGCTGGGCATATAAAAGGATTCTCAGGGAAACTGATGAAAATTGCAGTTCAAGGAATGGTGGAAGGCAGACATAGAAAGAGAAAACTTGGCAGTACATCAACAAAAAATGGACTGACTCAAGCTTGGGAAAAGCCTACAACTCTGAAGAGTGGAGAACTACCCATGTGAGTGAAGTGTTATTACATAACATCAACCTTCACAATGATTCATGTGCATATAAATAATTTTTCCCAACACATCACAGTATTTATTTGGAATTGCTTTAGCTCTATACTTTCTTTTCATAGAAGTTATTTAGCATGATGTGAAGATTCATCACTTTGGATATATTTTAATAGCACTTCTTTCTGATAATTTGACTTTTGTGATATGTTCAGTAGAGAGTTCAGTATTGCCCAGTAGAGCCATTGCTCTTTTCTGTTTCTTCAGTTTTGTGGATTTGTAATGCTTTCAATTCTTTCAGCATCAGTCAAAACACTCATAACTTCACTTTCACTTATGTGTTCATCATCATCAGTTCAGCTTTCTTAAAAATGAACCACTGGACTGTTCAGATTCAAGTTGGAAAATTATTTGTATGTTGCTGGTGATCTTCATCAACAGAAGAATCCTCTTCACAGGATACATTGTCATGATCCTGTGACAATGTATCACAGGATCATGTTTACACTATGTGGTCTACACTATTCAGATTTGAAATCTGAATAGTGTAGACCACATTGAGTGGTCTACACTATTCAGATTTCAAATGCTATGTCATTCTTTGAATCTTTGAAGCCAACTATCATTGAAAGCATCATGCCTGAGTGATGTCCATTTTTGTATGAAACTTTTTTAAATAATCACCGAACCAATAATTGGTACTCCTACAGCACATTTTGAATTAACACTAGAATTGCCAGAAGGTTCATCTCTAACCTATAAGCCCATTGTTTACTAAATCTTAAAATTTTAAGGAACTGCTTTTGTTTTATCATTATTAGAACAATTCCTACTGGCAGTTCTAAGTAGCAATATTTTCACCTATAGGTCAAACTTATTTATGATCTCTGTCTTTCTGAATTAATCTTTTTATTTCTTGCAGCTAGAGATGTCATTTTGGTTTTTATACAGGCAATTAAACAAGATAGAACAAGCTGACTATAAAATTTTATGCATTCAATATTCAGTATTTTTGATTAATTAGTTACATTAAGGAGAATCACATCTCATCCCTTATTATCATAAAAAAATAGTTTGGATGTGCTAATAAATATCTGAGTATGATTTGGATGCTGTTGAATTTAATGACAACTCATCCTTATCAGATGAATTCTTTTATCCAAAAAGTCAGACAGGAGTGATTCAATTTCTGATGAGAAACTTGCATAATTTATAAGTATCTACAACCTCTCATCAGCTTAAAACCTGTGTTATGCTGAAATAACACTTTTTTTACAACTAATCTTCTGCTTAGTTTTCTCTTACACTGATTTTCTATATAGGCTACAATATTTATTTTTCAATAAGAAGCTAACATTAGCAATATTTCCAGATGTAATCAGTCACTTTTATAACCACTTAAAAGGGGTTTTGAACGAATAAGCCAAAAATGTTATGTTCTTTGAATCTGATGCTCACCCGAGTTCAAGAATTACTCAGAAATGATTAATTCTCAGATATTTTATTTATATGCATTTAAGATTGAAATTCTTGCCAATCCCTCTTCAGTAAAGGTACAATCTGCGACAGAGCCTACACTAATATTTCGGACTTTTCGAAATCAATTACATTTTTGTTACTGTGATTGATTTATTATACATTCATTACTAATTGTATTGTTGAATTGTATTCAGTTGGTTGCAAATGTTTGTAGAGCCAAGAATATGATTTAAAGGTGATGTCTGTTCTTTAGAAGTTGGAATTTGCTGACTTTGCCAAATGATGTGGAGAGCAACTCCAGAACGACTCATGAAAGATTCCATTTATGGACACTATTACAGACAGTTAGATTTGAATTCTTTTTGAAACCTGCAGCCATCTGGTAATGCTTTCAAGTTTGATCCCAAATGATCTTTACACAAACCTCTGAAAATTGTATAGAAATCACTAATGAAATCATTTGACCCAACACAAATAAGGTGATGTAATGAATCTTTTTTTTACAACAGCACACTCAATCCCATAGTCAACATTCCCACCTTTGCTCTGATTTCCATCTATGGTCTTTGGTGCACCACATGTCCAAAAATATTCAGATCTGCAGAATATTAGTGGGCTTGATTATCATTGGACAATTTTGGATTATTGGCTACTTTTTAGAGGATACTGGATTATTAACAACATTCAAGGTTATTGTGTGCTAGTTTGAACATCTACTGTAATCCAGAAATTTTGAATTTCTGATATTTTCAATTCTAACATATCCAAATAAAATTTTGTTTATAGTTCTAAAGATATTAATCACAATTTTGGATGAAAAAATTTATATTTTGAAAAGATAATTTTATTCATTTGTATAAATTTAGATAAGATGCAGTCTGAATCAAAATGAATATTTTGAATTTATAATTTAGTGTGAAATTCATTGCACATTATTTATTTATTGTATATTACAGTAAAGATCAATAATCAATATTATGCTGTCATTATTTTTAAACCATTTTAATCATAAAAGTACAATATAAATTATTCATACGATTATGTAATTGTTAAATGAAATTCCAATTGAGAAACAAAATTAAGTTTAAAAAAATAAATTTAACAGCCAATATTAAAAATACAAAATTATTAATCATATTATAAAATAATGAAAATCTATCTATAATATATAATATATAGTTATAAGGATATAAGGATTATGTAAATTATAAATATTACCATAAATATTCTAAGTTGATATATTTATTATTATTTGAAATTCTCAAAATACGACTAAAATTTTTTTAAATGCATCATTTCTATTTTTAAAACTTAAAGTATGCATGTAAGAATTAATAAATACAGGTATACCTCGTCTTACGTCAGTTCCAGGAGAGGCAACTTAAGTCAAAAAATGACATAAGTTGAATTTACTTGTCACTACTAGGCTAAACCACAAATAACCATTCCTAGTTCTGTATTTTATTTATAAATGCATTTTTAATAATATGGTTAATAAGAATCTATTTTAAGCTAACAAACAAATAAATTTTAGTTTTTAATAAAGTACAGAAAAAAGTAATCTGAATTTATGAATTCATGTACATACAGTACATACTTGTAAATGTACATGTTTACAATTTGGCAACGTTTACAGTACTGTACATCGTGGACTCTATTTGCTCTAAGACATTATAAAATAAGATGATTTTGTAATGTTAAATAACAAATACAGTTATTAAAATTATCTTGCAACAGTAGAAAATAAACTAATTTATATTAAATTTTCTAATATCGAGTGGCACTGACAACGACGCCAAACGGTAGATATTGAAGCTACTGTGGAAAACACCTATATTGAGCACTTAAAGACCACTAAATTAGACGACAACACAGAAACACAGAGGTTTTCATGTTTTGTTCTCTAGGATTTATGATGATGATGATATTAACATTTACTGTAAATGTACATATTTTAATATGATTTTATGTGCTTAACGCTTTTCTAGTGATATTTATGACTTCAATATTTGTGGCAGACGGACATAAAGTTGAATAAAATGACTTAAACTCGATTTTTATTTCTCCATATACTTTTTGACAAACGACATATAATCGAGAACAATGTAACTCGAGGTATACCTGTATTATATTTATAACAAACATAGAAGTATAATGTCTTTTAAGCAAATCAATTTAGAAATGTTTAATGTCATATGTTTACAACAGTGAAGGCTATGATGATGGTGGTGGTAATATTTTTCTCAAGAGTAAATATACCACTATTATAAACAATATTTAATCAATTTAAGCCACCAGTAACTATCATTTACAGAAAAAAGTTCTCTCTCTACAATGCGACCAATTAAAAGGTAAATTATAATTTTTACAAAAATGACAGATTAACTGATGGTTTTTTCTGTCAAAAAAGACTAGTAAATTTCGATCAGATTCATATTGAATCTCTTATTGTTTTATCAAATTATAATACTCATTTCATTTCCATTTGGAAATAGAATGTTATGAGCATCATAATTTGACATACACATATCTTACATTAATTCCATGAAATGTATTTAGTACTTTTAAGAAAATATTTTTTAAACATTGACAGGAAATTTTAATTTGAACATATATGAAGGATCAGTTATTTGGAAATCAGTACATGATGTTACATGCCTGCAATAGTTAAGTGAAATAGAAATATAAAAACATACCTCCTCTGCATTATCTGGAATGATTACTTCTAATCTAGGTGGAAGTAGCTCTTCTAATCTGGCTACAGCACTTGGATCAATTTGCGTAGGAAAATGAACCAAAAATTGGATAATCAGACGACCTTTTTCAAATGGATTCTTATATTGGGGCATACCTTCATTAAGCACACATTTCACTGCTCCATGTTTAATTATTTCACCTTTATAATTATCACCACATAGTAAATAAATAAAGGTTTAAATAAAACAAAATTATAAGTGAAAAAGATAAATTTGAAAGATATTTACCTGGGATGACAGTTACCACAAGATCTCTATCATCTAGAGTTTTAATACATTTTTGGAATCCACAAAGAGCTTCAGTCAAAGTTAATTCCATTCTCATAATCAAATCATGTCCACTTCGGCGGAATACTTCATGTTCTTTCTCATCAAGAACAATGATTATATCACCAGGTTCAAGTCCAGGTTCTTGATCACCTTCACCACTAAATGTAATTCTCTGTCCATCTTCCATTCCTAGCAAATTTCAATTGAACCATAAAAATCAACTCTGTTAACATTTACATTAAAATTTAGAAGTTCATGCTTAAATAAATCAAAGTAATTCTATTGGGATACAGATGTACCCTAGGTTACATACATAATGCATTTCATCTAGTAGTAGTAGTAGTAGTAGTAGTAATTTCCCATACATTTTTTAAAATTATTATTTAAAGAAAGCTTCATCTTATGGAAAATTTTTGAGCAACAACCAATAAAGTTTCATGTCCCAGAGTTCCACAGAAGATGCCTTTGTTAAATTGTGCAATATGTTAGCAAGGAAAGAAGAGATTAATGTCTTTTAATATTTCTATATTTCTAAATCTATTTGCATTCATTAATAGTGGTCACTCTGCATCTCTGCCACCACAAGCATGCTCTGCTGTTTGTAAGCATTTGGGAACAATAATGAAAGAAAGAAAAAGATGCTGGCACCCATATCTATCAATAGTATCCTGATGGCAGAATCTATGATTTTAAAATATGCGTTTTTGGAGACAAATTTAAAAAAAGGATTCCAATTGTAAAATTTAACTATCAAATGGATTGTCTTGCATTCAAAGTATCCATGAAAAAAGAATGCTGGGCTACCATTTGAAAAAAAAATGATACTTACCTACAAACACCAGGTGCATAAACATGCACTTTCAATACTTATAAATTTTCATTCACAGAACTGTATGACAGACACTGAAACAAAACAATTTGAGCCTGAAGGATGCCATGTTGCTTTCCACCATAAATTACTATTGCTATTACTACTACTAATACTACAAGCAGCCATTTTTGCTGTCTGATGGGCCACACTCCAGCCAAAATATAGGAATGCACTCCACAAATTTTTTAATGGATACTGTCCATATGGAGGAATAAAAGAATATATCCTGTATCAAAAACACATTTGTCAATGTGTAATGGCCCTCAATTTTACAATTTATCAGCAATACCAAAGTACCACAAAATATTTCTACTTGCTCAAGTATTTCTTAAAAGACAACAGCTAATCTTAAATTGGGCTTTTTTAAAAAAGAACCAGGTCCCTAAATAAAGGCTGTCCTCAAGGCTTGGTATCCGGATTGATACTCTGGAAAGTTGTTATAAATGACTTGCCAATTATATTATCAGACTTTCTGTTCATCAGTTTTATCGTTAAAAAATAATTATTATTGATAATTTTCTGAATTTTCTTAAAATCCACACATTTTTGATCTTTGCCTGGACATTTAGACACACAACACAAAAACTGGACAGGGAAACACTTGGAATGGACAAAGCACCATATAGGTAGGGATAGTTAAGTCAGATCATGATATGGATAGAAATATAGAATATGATGGGTCCTATCTGTGATTTGTTTTACCATGAAATGGTTGTAACCTGAGATACACCTGTATTAAAAAATCTAATTAATAAACTAGGTAAAATCTAAGATTTTAATGGCAATGTAAACATTGAATTTTAGAGTCAAATCATAATTATTCAGACATTTTAATAAAAATGACATTGGATGCATTAAAAGACTTGCATAAAAAAAAAATAATTTTCTTTAGAGTCTATTCTTTAATCCTTTTAACAGTCCAACTCAGAACTAATGGTAAAGAAGTGGCTTGAAAAATTTTATCAAACGTTTTATTTTAAAAGTTCCAAATTCTACAATAAATGGTTGGCATTTGATCATTTTTAACTTGTGTAATTTTTTAATATTTTATAACTTGCTGTTTTTTGAAGATTTAGTTATATCTTCAAGCCAGTCTTTTACTGTTAATAATTAAAAGGATTAAAGAATCAACTTGAAAGAAAATTAATATTTTTATGTAAATCTTAATGCTTCAAATGAAGATAATCCTGGGTTATGTTATCTATGCAAAAACGACATTCTTAGTAGGGTTTATACAAAAACCGTTTTTAAAAATCCGGTTTTCAAATCTCAACTTTTCTACAAAACTGTTTTTAACCGGTTTTCGAATTTTCACCCCCCCAAAAAAAATGGAAATAAGGAATATTTACAACTTATTTTAAAACTTTTCAATTTATTTAATATTTATAAAATTTCAAAAGTATAACAAAATAAAATCAACCAACATCTACACAAAAAAAAAAAAAAAAAAAAGGAAATGCTAGATTATCACATTAAACTATAAAATGTACTCCATAGAAAACCATAAAGAAAAACAAATAATAATGAATACCTACAAAATATTATTTTATTTCTTATTTTTTCTAAGAAAATACGATTTTAGAAAGCAAAGAACATCTATAGATCTACTGCTCAACTGTGTCCTTATTTTTCACACAAAATTGCCAGAAATAGAAAAAACTCTCACTTGCTACTGAGCTGGATTTAATTGTCTTTAAAGCATTATTCCCCAAGAACCTGAAGAAGTGACTTCGTTCAGTCCTAAGACACTAAAAAAGAAGTTTTTAGTATTAGATGGTACAAACAGAAGAACAAAAAATTTAGATTTATTATTTAATGCTTTAAAGACGATTAAACCTAGCTCAGTAGCAAGTGAGAGAGTTTTTTCTATTTCTGGCAATTTTGTGTGCAAAATAAGGACACAGTTGAGCAATAGATCTATAGATGTTCTTTGCTTTCTAAAATCATATCATCATCTAAAATCGTTCTTTCCTTTCTAAAATCATATATTTATTATTGATTTTTCCACAGCATTTTTTAAAGCTATGGACTGATTTTCTTCTTCGCTACTTTTTCATCCTCACAGTCATCTTCTATAAAATAATTTGGATATAATCTTGATAATATTTGTCCAGATAACTTAATATCAGATTTTGCAGCTAGTGGAAGAAATAAACTAGACAACTTTGTCCAAATGTTTTTTGGATTTTGTAAATAAAGGAGAAGTGTTACTAATCCCGTTTGTCTTCTCTCTTGAATCTGTACCTCTACAGCATGTAACAACTTGGAAGTCATTTCAGTTTTAATTCAAAAAACTGAAACTACTATACTTCACATTTAATTTTTCAATTCACATAATAGGAATTCAATTATGCCTTCACTTGTTAATAAATAGGGTGACAAGATGCAAACTTTGTTGACCTAAGGCATCAGCTACTAAACATATTGGTCCTTAAACTTTAAGGAGCTCTACAATTTTACAATACTGCTTCATTCTTACAATACTCAGCTTCATGTGAGAAGCACCAATGTCATTCAAATCTAAAACAACAAATTCTTTTAAATGTACAAATCTTTCTATCATTTTTCCATTGTTGAAAGATTTCTCCCTATTATAGGGAGAACTGGACACTTTTTATGTGCAGGGGAATTCTTTTTTTTTGTTTTTGTAGTTAGTTTTATGAAACTCAGTATTTAACAATATTCCAGTTTTATGACAAATGGTTTTGTGACAGATGGTTTTGTGACAAAATGTTGATGTTTTTAATCAAATAATTAATTAATTTGTGTCTAAATCTAGGCTCAAAAATCAGTTTTTTAGTTGGGAAAAACCCGGTTTTCAAATTATATGAACTGGTTTTTAAAAACCGACAAACCCTAATTATTAGTTGCTAATTTAGTAAAACCTACATGTAACAGAACCAGGCTATAAGGGAAAAAACCTTTTTGTGCTATTTTGCAGTGATGCAGTGTGTAATGATTTTGAGCTATAAATATATACAAATTACCCTTCTTATAGAAGAAATAGTCTAATACAGAAATACAAAAGAGATTCTAATTCTTGGAACAAAAACTTTTGTTTAAGGAAAACTGCATAAATTTGAATTTAAGTTTTAAACCACCAGATGGCACATAAATGCACTACAAGATTTTTTTCTGTTGCCTTTTTTCATGAATATACAACTTCGGCCTACAGTAAAGTGTAGATTAATGGCAGCCCAGTCTACCTTTTTCAAAAAGTTTGAATTATGCTTTTCTCTAATTTTTCTCAGGTAAGTAACTTTTAATAAACACTATGTTTATTAAAAATTTAATGCCAAAAGACAATTGTTTAGAACATTGTTTAACCATTTTGGCATCAAGCATAAGTTTCAAAGTTTTGACAAATATTTAAAATATTTGAATGAATGTATGAAATTAACATTTTCTGTTTAAAATTTACACATACTTACCTTTATCAATATGAACTTCTAATAGCTTTCTTTCTCTCACAACTTTTCTACCTTGGCAATTTTTACACCTGTCTTTAGGATTTATGCGTTCTCGTTTGCCTTGACATTCAGGACACACAGTTTGAATTTGCTGGACCATACCAGGACCTAACTGTTGAATACGAACCTGCATGCCAGTTCCTCTACAATTTGGGCATGTTTCCACAGATCCTTTTTTACCACCACGACCTGTAATTAAATATATATAATTATAAACTATTGACATAATTAAATAATAAATAAATTTAATTATTCTATATTATCAATATTTTAAACTTATAATCCTTCACTTCAAAGGCATCCTAATTCTTTACTTGTATTGTATTTTAAACTTTAGATATAATTATGAATATATTCAGATATTATAGATACAAATTCCCATATCATTAAAATATGGATAAATCAGTTATACTACTATTGGTCACAAAACAAAACAAAATACAAACCAGTAATAATTGAAGTAATTTAAAAATTTATGCAAACATTGTAAATAACAATTCTGATTTCAAGTCTTACCTATTACAACTTATACACATTTTTACAATTTTTTATACCATCATTCTACAAAAAGTTCAAACATTTTTATTTTAAATTTCCATCTCAAACATCCTACATAAATAAATTAAAATCATTTCTATCAAAATCTTAACTATTTAATTTCGTTAAACTCTGTTTTAACAAAAATATTTAGAAATGAAATATTCAAATTGTTTTAAAATGAAGCATTAACAAGTCTTTTTATAAAAAATTAATGATCTTTAAACTACATGTGAAGATCAATATACACAAAAACATAATTAATACCTCCACCCTCTTCTTTTCTTATTTATTAAGCTTTAGATTCTTTGAAAACAAACTATAATAATGATTAAAGATTAATGCATTATATTTCGCATTATTTTCTTTGGTTTAAAAAGCTATGTCCATTTTTCTCTTTAAATGCAGTGGAACCTCGCTTAACGAGCACCTCACATAACGAGCAAAACAAATTGTAAAAAATGACTTGCATAACAAGTGACAAGGAGAGGGGAAATCCTGAATTGTGAGCATGCTCCATCAGTCTGAGTTTAGCACTCGTTACGCTAGCATCTTAGTGTTGCTCGTGATCACACATTTTTCCTAACTTGTGCTCACACATATTATGTATAAACATTAACAATTATAGCACGTTATATAATAAACATGCAATCGCGTACTAAATTTGAATTGAACTGAAATTATTTATTGGGGTAGAAGGCTTTCGCCTGTTACAAGGGCATTTTAAAAACGAATACTAACATCTTATATATTATTATTTTAACAACTTTGGTTTTTTCTATTTATTAATCTATAGAATTATATTAATAATTTATCACAATTATCATTTAATTAGTTGTTTAACATAGTTATATAACATATAAATCATGTTTACATTAGCTCTATCAAATGTCTTATACATTTCCAACTCACTAGTATATTTAGCCAGTGGCCCAATCTGGAGCATTTGAAGTTTATCTCTTTTATTACAATGTTCACATATAATATGAATTTTAGATAAATTTTTGGTACTGTTTGGACATTTTGATTGGGTATAATCTATATATTTATCATTTATATTTATTCCATTTTTTATTTAACCTAATCTGTATAAAAAACTTTTTAATGTTAAAAGCTATATTTGTCAGTATATATTTGTATTTTGTTGGATAATTTAGAATTATTGCATACCAGCTTGTGTTTTCTCGTTTTCATATATCTTCAATGTCTTGAATAGTAGAGTACAGTGGGTGATCGGTTAACGAACAAATCGGATAACGAACACTTTCGCGAAAGATTTTTATGATCAGACAACGAACATATGTTCGGATAACGAACACTTCACTGAACAAACACAAGAAGTGACATAAAATAACAAATACCGATTGGTCTTCCTTTATCTTTAGGCAACAATTCGAAACTTTTCGGAGCGCGGGAGACGTCGACATCGACGTTCTACCCAGTATATACTGATCGGATAGTATTCCCCCGAACTTTGAAACTCTCCCTTGTAATTCCAGCCTTTTGTATTTCTGACAGAAACAATTCTTTTACATTTTCTTCTGAAATTTTATGCCGATATCCGCTATTTAAGATCTTTTGAAGAAGTAGGAAGATGTCACAACAATGGTCTTAAAATGGCATCCAAACCAAGTTGAGGTTAATATGCCTAGGGATCTCTACAATTACAATGCTATTAATTACTTCTGAAAAATCATGAATAAGACAGAAAAGCAATCGATATTGGATAGATTCTTTAACCCCCCCAAACAGAAAAAACATGACTAATAAAAACGCAAGACCGTGTATATATGTATTTTTATTATTACATATGAATAAACGTAGTAAAAAAGTATATATTTTTTTTTATTTTTGAGGGTCTCCAGAACGAATTAATCAAATTCCCATAGAAACCTATGGTAAATCGATAATCGGTTAACGAACTATTCGGATAGCGAACAAAGTCTTGGAACGGATTATGTTCGTTAACCGATCACCCACTGTATTCCATAACTCTATATATTATTTTCTTACTATAGTGCTCCATATTATATATACGGTCCATGAACAGTTTAATCAAAAATCCATATTTATTTATTATCTTCAATAGCTGAATTATCCAACTTCGTCTTAAGTCTATTTCCCTTGATTTGTGATATAGTATGAACAGCAGTTTTGTTATATCTTCTGCCTTAATAATTTTGAGTAAGAACCTTAAATATCTTTTTATTAGTATAGTATTTAATCTTAATCTATTTGTTTCTAATCTTAAAGCACTACCCAGTATATTATATTCTAGCTGGAATATCTTACGTATAAATACATTCTGTATTTTTTCAAAGTCATTAAATTTTTCAATGCTCCAAACTGGGGCCACATAGCCCATTGAATTCATCACTATCGAATTAAAAAGTTGAAAATGTATATGTAAATTCTTTATTTTTGCCTTGCAGAATAGACCATCTTACTAAATTTAATGACCAATTCCAAATTAAATTTTTAAAATGTCTAAATTAAAAACTATTTATTATTATTAAATTTAATATGAGATGGCAGCATAACTGTCTACCTCTAGTCAAATTAATTAATTTCTAATATTTAATTATGGCTTTTACATAGCCAAAGAATTTGGCATATCATTTGGCATCTTCATCAAAGATATTATGTGATTTTTTTTTTTTCTGCAAATTGAATTTGCATTCCAGATTAGTTCATTCCATGCTAGAGGAAAAGATGAAGATGATTCATGCTTCTTAACAATAATTTTCTTTGAATATACAAATGTTATATGTAAAATATTTGAGTATTTTTTCAACATGGAACACATTATCATATTTTACATTAATTTCTATGGGAAAAACTGTTTCACTTAACGAGTGTTTCACATTAAGAGCAAGATTCTGGAATGAATTATATGCTTGTTAAGTGAGGTTCCACTGTATTTTTAATAAATTGTGCACCAATGAAATTCCTTTTCTTTTATTTCAATAATTATTACTGATATTTGATCATAAGGAGTAATTTTTCTTCAAGTATTACATCTGTCTTCATAGAATTTAATTTAGATAATTTCTGAAAATTCATTTTGGTAAGCAGTTGACATATCAATAATAAGGATTGTTAAATATTCTTATTTAATTATAAAAGGAAACAACTTAAAAAGTTGTTTCCTTTTATAATTAATATGCATAACTATCATATTCTTACAGATCTCAATGATTCTAAGGCAGAATTAACCTAAACCTCAAATTGATTTTTATTGGATTATTTTATTAATGAGCCTATGTCTTGTTTATAAAATCACCCTGCTGTCAATGGCTGGATACCTTAGAGGTATGAAGGAGTTCATGTCAGGAGTTGTAATTTGACACAGAGTATTTGGTGCCCAAATCATGCATACAAAAAAACCAGACTTATAGGTACTCAGGGAACCGAGAACCAAGTCAAAATAAAATACAAAATGGCAACACACTTTCTACAAACAGGCAAGAGTGCAAGATTTGTGCACTCTTGCTTATTAATAGAAATTTGTTGGGAAGTTAAAAATGCAAACATTGCAAAATTGAATTTTGACAAATGAATCTTTGAAAAAACCCATTTATCTCTCTGATCGCAACCTGCTGAACTTGACTGGTTGACCCGAGATATCTCATTTCAGCATCAGAACGTTTTTGAAACTAGATAGTTATAATATAAAATTATACTAGCACCAACTTCTGATGTATAATTTTTGTTTTTACATTTATTTTGTTTGTGCAAAATAAAAAAATAATTTTTGACAATATAATAGCCATGATTATTCTTTTCAAAGACAGGAAATTTTCATTAGGAATCAACAAAAATTCAACCTGGGGCAACACGCAACAGAGAGAAATTTCGACATTGGATAAGTTAATTTCACCAAAAATGGATCGTGGATGACCTAGTGGTCGTGGTCTGCAAGTTTGAATGATTGCACTCAAAACCAGCAATACCAAAGAAAATTGGAGAATGAGAATGAGACTCGCTGTGAGCGTCAAAATGATCCCACTTAGTAGTGAGTCTCTGAGACATAGTCTTGTCCTAAAAATGGCCTTGCCATTTTACTTGTTTTCTCATAAAACTAAAATTTTAAGCATAATTTGGAAAAATATTTATAATTCTGTTGTTATGAACCCACTCATTATAAGCAGCTTTAAATCTTTATTCTAGTTTATGTATAAGTTTAAATCATGTCCTTTTAAAGTAACCACTAGATCTAAATAATCAAGCAGTAGATTTTTGGTTTATTTGGATTATAAAACAATCCCTGTGTCAGAAGTGTGAAAGATAGAAATAGGAACACCTATAAACACGAAAAAACAAATAACTCAAGTTCATTCTTGTCTGAGTGTAACATTTGCAGCTTGCAAGTGTAGACATATTTTCTATGAATCAGCATATTATGTTCATTATTATGCATTCCATAAAATTATTTTTTGAATTTACTTAATATCTTGTTAAATATTTTCTAATCTTTTAAGATCATTTTCAATAATAAAAAATTAATACTTTCCTGTTGAATAAAAATGTGTTTTTATCATGACAGTTAGCATGTTAAGTTTATCATTTGTAACCTCGTAAGTTATTATTCACTCAATATCCACAGCTACTATTCTTTCACTTGAGTTTCAGTCACATTTTATCTTTTGTGAAGTACAGTAAACACCGTGAAAATGATGTCTAAAAGAAAAAGTGGTTATTACGACAGAAAAGAAATTAGAAATATAAGATAAAATGTATAAACTGTTTTGTTTTTAATGAATTTGCTGGATTATATGGATCAGGCTCAGTCCCCATTCAAGCCATATAAATGGGTTTCACTATACTTACCTTCTTTTATATAATTCTCATCTTAGACAACTTAATCCAGTCTATAATACATTTCCTTTCAACTATTTTTTTGTATATAAGTATTTGTATCACAACATAATTTTATATAAGTAAAATTAATAATTATTAATAAAACCATTCTCACCTTCACATTTGTCACAAATTACGTTTTTCTGAACAGCAAGTTTTCGAACTGCTCCATTGTATAACTCTTGTAGAGTAACAGCTAATTGATGAATCACATCTTTACCTCTACATTCACGTCTTCTACTATGGCCACTACCAAAAAACATATCAAAAATATCCATAGGAGATGAAAATCCACCATGTCCACCAGCATGTCCCTCTTTTATTGCTTGTTCACCACCCTGATCATATATCTTTCTCTTTTCTGGATGTTCGTTAACCGATCACCCACTGTATTCCATAACTCTATATATTATTTTCTTACTATAGTGCTCCATATTATATATACGGTCCATGAACAGTTTAATCAAAAATCCATATTTATTTATTATCTTCAATAGCTGAATTATCCAACTTCGTCTTAAGTCTATTTCCCTTGATTTGTGATATAGTATGAACAGCAGTTTTGTTATATCTTCTGCCTTAATAATTTTGAGTAAGAACCTTAAATATCTTTTTATTAGTATAGTATTTAATCTTAATCTATTTGTTTCTAATCTTAAAGCACTACCCAGTATATTATATTCTAGCTGGAATATCTTACGTATAAATACATTCTGTATTTTTTCAAAGTCATTAAATTTTTCAATGCTCCAAACTGGGGCCACATAGCCCATTGAATTCATCACTATCGAATTAAAAAGTTGAAAATGTATATGTAAATTCTTTATTTTTGCCTTGCAGAATAGACCATCTTACTAAATTTAATGACCAATTCCAAATTAAATTTTTAAAATGTCTAAATTAAAAATTATTTATAATTATTAAGTTGAATGCAAGATGACAACATAACTGCCTACCTCTAGTCAAATAAATTAATTTCTAATAGAGANAATACATTTATCTATTTTTCTTGCAAAGCTATTTTTTTTAATTTTATATATAAAATATTAATACAATGTAAATTTGTGCATGTATGTATATTTAAATAAAAAGGAATTGTGTATAGTTAACACAAAAACCGAAAGATTAGACACAAAGAATATCATTTAATTAAAATGCCTCAATGTCCTTTTTCTTACTAAAATAAAAATTTTCGTCTATAATTTCATATCTTCTATTATCAGGACTTATTATACTGGCTTTACAGGCAATACAGAGTTTTTACAGAGAACAATTTTTTATTTTATTTAATATACCTGTATATTACATAAAATAAAAAATTGTTTTCTGTAAAATTTTGTAGCATTATCTGTAAAGCCAGTATAATAAGTCCTGATAATAGAAGATATGAAATTATAAACAAAAATTTATATTTTACAAAGAATATCAATTATGTACACAAATTTTTTTTACTAATTATAGAAATTTATAAAAAACTTTGCTACACACAAAACTAAAATCATCACATACAAATGCAAGCAACATATTAAAAACAAAAACATAAGAATAATGCATGCTATTTATAAAATGTAAGAATCATGTCACTATTATATTACAAATGCATGCATGACAAAATTAAGATTAGTCATGTGTATGTTTGTAAGTCTTTCTGTGCAAAGAATTTGAAAACTTGTTTTCTGTGAATCAGCATATTATGTTCATTATTATGCATTCCATGGAAGTATTCTTTGAGTTTACTTAATATCCTGTTAAATCTTTTCTAATCTTTTAAGATCATCTTCAATTATAAAAACTGGTCATTTAAACTACAAGATACCAAACTTGTACTTTGAATGACTGATTTCAAACACTAAAATCAACAAAACCTTGTCTTGGAGTTTGAATGATGCTTCAAAGTTCAAACTGAGCGCAGTGAAAAAATGCACTTAAAGTGTAAATGCTATCTGCTGTGTACCAAAGTCATCTCTCTCTCGTGTTATGCTCATATTTTTCAGTGTTTTTATACTTTATTTTTGGTATGTTAGGTTATAGATATTGTGTATTGTTTGTTGACTTTTAACAATATCTTCCTAAAATTTTACTTCATTAATAGTTTTTGGCATCCATTACATTTTGTATCCTTTAGTTCAAAATTTCCTGAACAGGATATGTTTGAAATTTTATGTTTGAAGTTTAGATGCATCGTCCCCATACCTCCTTTCCAAAACATAATATCCTAATATGCCATTTTATCTGAAGACACTACATTTTGTTTGAATAAAATAAAAGTTGAAAAGTAAAAAGTTTAAAATATGCTTCTAAACAAAAAATACTATCTCACATTAAGAATAATGTGTTAAATTTCCTAACTGTTATAATCAAATCACACATCTATGTTAAGTAATGACAGCTGTTAAAAATACAGGTAACCCCCGTATAACACGGTAGTTACGTTCCAAAAAATTGCCGTGTTATGCGAATCCGTGTTATACGAAACAAAGAACTAATACGAAAATGAGAGTTAGGTTCCAAAAATTAAAAAAACATGCTAATTTTTATGAAGATAAATATCTTCATAAAAATTTCTTTAAGTGATACATATTAATTAATATAAATTAAACAATGTTTCTTTGTCATCACTAAAAACACTATTAATTAACCGAGAGCGTTTTCTTTTTGGCAAGTTATCCTTATCCTCTGAGCATTTTTCTGCATTATCTTCAGATCCATGCTTTACCTTTTGCAAAATGTATGTAATTTTAGATTGCTTGCTTCTAGTTAAAAGGTCTTTATAAATTTCCTTATATGGTGCTAAGCACTTATGAAGAATAAAGCAAGTATGGAATAAGGGAAAAACATTCGGCAACATCAGAAGCAGAAGCGTCGCGATCTGGCAACATTGAAACAAGTTTCGAGAAGGACCACGTGTATCGACAGAAGGCGAGAAGAGAAAATTTACATACTTAAGTACTAATAGTTCATGAAAATAATTTTTGTGAACTATTATTACTTAAGTATGTAAAAATTTATTACATTTCATGTTGTACGAGGGTTTTAGCCAATTCTCGAACCGTGTCAGAGTGAATCCGTGCTATAAAAGTACCGTGTTATATGGGGGATGGTACCAATTCTCGAACCGTGTTAGAGCGAATCCGTGCTATAAAAGTACCGTGTTATACGGGGGATGGTACCAATTCTCGAACCGTGTTAGAGCGAATCCGTGCTATAGAAGTGCCATGTTATACGGGGGTTACCTGTACACAAAAACTTTCCATTCAACCTAATATAATCTTTACTTATTAACCATATTATCCAAGAAAAGTGTAGAAGCAACAAAGCCTAATAGAAAGGTTGCAGTATTAATGATTAAGGTGAAAAATGAATTTATCGCAAAGTATAAAAGCGATACATATGTAGCAAATCTGTCAGCTGAAGTCTATGGTGGGCAATAGGGTTTCTCATTTCCCGGTCTTTTGCTTGTCCTGGGATTCTGGGATAAAAGCAAACTGTTTCCCAGAATCCCGGGACAAAATTAATTATTTTTAAGATATACAAAATATCTTGAAATCAAATAATATAATTATTTTTCGTTTTTTAAAATAATTTAATATGTTCTGCAACCTCCAAAATCATATTAATAATGCTGCATAAGATATATATTAAAAATTACCTTTGAATTATGTAGAAATTTTCACAAATAGAAAAAATTTATTAAAGTTTGCTGGAAACTGCATACAACAACAACAACAACAACAACAACAACAACAACTACTTTGAATTGAGTTACAAATTTAAAAAAAAATGAACTTAGATCAAACTTCTAACTTAGAAGGTAATTTTCGTTTTTTAAATAATATATAATACAAAATATTGTACATTTTTATAAGATTTTAAAAAGCAAAGATGGTCAATACTCCGATCACTCAATCTAATTCTTATTTTAGTAATGAAAAGTCTTGCTACCGAGAATGCCTTTTCTGATTCAATTGATGTGTTTGGAATCATGTTTAATGCATTTAAGAAAAAAGAAATATTGTGTTTTTTTCACCTGTATCCTGAAAGATTTCTAGTTCGTCTTTGAGATTGTAATACTTTTTTGCTCTCTAGTATTCTTGATTTGTCTACCTCGACTGCTTTAATAGAAATATCATAGCCCAATAATTCGGCAGTTCGTTTGTCTTTAATAATAACTTGACATTATGTAGTTATTGAAGCTACTGGGCATGGTTAAAAATAAGACAGCATAAGCACAATTATTCTAGATATTACAGGTAAAGAATTTTGAGTCCTGCCACAAATAAGCTACGTATTGATTATTGACCATTTGTGACATGCCATAATGAGAGAAATTAAAAAAAATTAATAAGTTGGTTTAAAATTAATAAATACAAATGTATTCTGACAGTTTATGGTTAATTATACTTTCTATTTGCAAAATTTCCTCAACTTTAACACAAAATAAGAAAAAAGTGAATTTTTAAGAAATTTGTGGGATTTCCTGGGTTATTTCTCAGGTTAAAAAAAACAACCAGGATCCCATTTGAGAAACCCTAGTGGGCAACCAATAAATGCAATTTTTATTTTATTATACAGCAGCGCTGTCCAACTTATCGTAGCCCGCGGGCCATATTTTCTTCACCAAACATTTCGGGGGCCAAGAAGGTTGATAAACCACATGACATTTGCATTTTGTTACGGTTCAGTAAGCACTAATTGGTCAGCGAGTCCGATGTTGCCTCTATAAAAAGGCGACAGTTCGACACACCGGATATACGTCACTCTCGTCTAAATTCGACTTGGGAATTTTTTTGTTCAATAATAAATGTGAATTCTTCCTGGAAAAAAGAACACATTCCTTGAAAATAAGACCTAGCGCATTTTTCAGAGCAAAAATTAATATAAGACACTGTCTTATTTTCGGGGAAACACGGTAGTAAAATAATTTTAATATTAATAATAATAATTTAGTAACATAAATTTATTCATAGTAAAATGTACTCGCGGGCCGTAAAAATTATTTGGCGGGCCGTATACGGCCCGCGGGCCGCCAGTTGGACAGCACTGTTATACAGTATTTAAGTATTTTATTTATTGTTCTCATGTTTTCAATTATTATTATGGCATTTAATTGTGTTATTTTTGCCTTAAATTATGTATATTTGCTATTTTAAGTTTATCTAAGTGAGTATTGTTTAGGACCTGGAAATGGATTAATTTTCAATTATTTATAATGGAGAAAACTAATTTTGCCTTTGAACTTTAGAGTTCAAATTGCCTTCTTGAATTAATTAAATTTGAAGTATTATGTATCACTGTAATTAGTGAGACATACTACACAGTCATCTTCATTCACAGTTATATTAAATATTCTCTTTCTTTTTTTTTAA